AAGCAACCCTGGGGGGGGGGGGTCCAGGGGCATATTTTTTAAATCTTTCTGTCATATGACGGAATGGTGTTTCCCGCTTTTTTAGGGGCAAATTTTGCTGGTAGACAAAGTTAGTTTAATGACATCTCTTTCCATATTTTTACACACCATTAAACATGACAGATTGGGCAAAATTTTTGCCTGTTGTGAGCAGCAAATTTCTGTCAAATGACAGAGAGACAGTCACTGACTAGAACACTGGCAGTTAGGCATACACGAAGGGCAAACTGGACACACGGTGTCCTGACAACAGTGACACGTCTCTGCCACATTCTCTTACTTCCCCTTTACATTGACACGTCTGTATGTTGTCTATCTGTGCGTCCATATGGCCGTATGTCTGCGTGACGGCCCGGTGAAACATGGAGTGTGACAGGCCTCACGCCATTCCCAGCTTTAGCGCCATTACTATTCATCTTAGCATGTCAGATCAGGGAACACAGCTCATCATTCCACACATGCAGGACAGCCAAGGCTGGAAATCCTTTTCTCTGCATACCTGCACTGGTGCAGCTAACACTTGAAATAACCAGCACCAGATAGATTTTATCTGCACCACTCAGAATTTATAGGAAGTATGAATCATACTTAAAACTCTTCAGAAACCATTGCCATTATTTATTTTATACCTCATAGGAGGTAACAGTCAATGGAGTAAATAAAAGCCACATACACCTACATGTATGGACTAGTGCAGGTTAGGTGCAGGTAGACATCAGAAATACCTGCACAGCTCCAATTTTACCTGCACTAACCTGCATATACCCAGTACATGGACCAGTGCAGCTTAGGTGCAGGTAGACATCAGAAATACCTGCACAGCTCCAATTTTACCTGCACCAACCTCCATATACCCAGTACATGGACCAGTGCAGCTTAGGTGCAGGTAGACATCAGAAATACCTGCACAGCCCAAATTTTACCTTTACTAACCAGCATATGGACCCAGTATTTCCAGCCCTGACAGTGGAGAGCTAGAGGCAGACCCTGCTGGGAGGCCCTTTGGAAATGTCAGGGCGCGATGCGATGTGTCACGGCAAAAGGTTAACAGTTTTGTTTGGTGCTCGACTCAAGTGATTCCGCAGCAACTGTGGGTCTTGTTTTTGGGACACAATTTTTTAAGGGCATCCAATGCGATTTAAGGGTGGCAAAACTGGATAAGGCAACCTGTATGATATTGACATACTGCCCCACATAAGCAAATTTTTGGATCAGTATTTCATACTTTTGCCATTGAAAACAGTGCAGAAACAAGCCCCAAGATGAGTCCTTTATTTTTTGGGTGGTAACCCATATATCAGCCCAGCATTTTTAACGACTTCTCTCTTGACTTCTCACCACTCAACACATCACGTTTTTGCTTCATGAATGTCGATATACTTTGGGATAGTGTTGTTTCAACTTACCATGTAGATAAGGGAATAGAATATTGACTGTGAAAAGTCTAAAACTGCCACTGGGCAGTCCTTTGCAGAAGATAGTGAATGATGCCAAAGTTTTTAGTCGCTTCCAAGTGAAGAAATAAGTGGAAAGCTGAAAAGGCTGGGGCACCATCTTCATCACATTCTAAAGAGCCTGAACTCCATTTTCTGTCTATTCACAGATGAAGGTCTCAGGGTTAAGTAATGTCATCCCAAAAGGCTAATAGCTTTGCAAGCAAGTCCAATAGCTACTAGATTTCTTGTATCCATCTGACATTCTAAAATCAAGATTGGAAAAAGTGCAGAAAGTAGGAAAAGTGATAGCATGATTTTTTAATGACAGATTTTCCACTCATCAACACATACATACTTGCATACAATGTATGCAAGTATACAATGACTTTCCCTGGTCTTTCAAAATGACCTCTGATACAACTAGAATCATACTATGCCCTCGACTATTCAGCACTGTCAAAGTGCTTTACCAGGCTTCATAAGCAGCTGGAAAGAGTATTAATTGGCCAAATAGACTTATAACATGCTAAGAAAGTTAGTCTGGTAAAGTACAGTTTGTCTACCTGAAACTACACTCCTTTGGCGGCCCAAAGCCTGGTAGAGGCTATAGGTACTTGGCCATCTCTTGGCCAGCTGTGTTATCTGTAACCCTCAGACCATTAGTGTGGCAGTGCTTAACCATTCTCTGTTCCCCCAAATCCATAATTCTATTATCTCTCTTCACCTTCAAATCGTCAGCAAGTAAAAAATCAATGGTCCATGGCTGATGAAACACGCAGCAACACTGGCTCAACCTCCTTCGTGTGCTCGCGATTATTTATCGGCACTCTGGGGATAATAACCGACCGTGGGGAACGGTAGGATAACCGTCGCGATAAGAAATCTCATATATTATTTCTCCCAAATGACTTAATCTCGAGGGTGATCTGCTATCACGTAGTGAGACAGGAAGCACGCAAATAGGTTCGACATTACTCGGCTTGTAGCTTAACAATGAAAAATGTATGGCCCATGTTTTCTGTTCAAAGCCTTCCTACTGCGATAATACAATTCATTGTGTGAAAGTTTGACATGGCTACTACTGATAAATTTACCTTTTAGCATATTGTATTGCTTTACTGTCACAACTAGTAGGAGATCACAACAAAAAAATTTTTAGAAAAGCATTTTATTAATATTTGAGTTTAAACACTTCCAACCTTGTTTAAATACACATATCATTCATAACAACTTCCATATCAAACATGATACCAAAACCTATATGCTATCAATATATTGCTTCTGTAAATAGTGTATCTTTGTCCCTTAGCTTTGCCCTTAAACATATTTAACCTGCCTTTCGATGTGGACAAAAAATACTCGCTTCTCTTGAGCTAAAATGGTTTCAGTAGTCACCTTTTACTTTGTGTAAACACGCTGCCCATAATATGCATTGTGAGGACTTATAATAGCTTGTTGACTCAAAGCCTTGAGGGGTAATTGTAATGTAAATATACCATAAAAGTGGGGTAAAAGGTCAATGAGGTATGATAATGAAGGCTGTTTGCTAGGAAGGCTATTCAGGCATCATTTCAAAAGGCTACTAGCACCTATTCACTAGTAAAATTGCTTTCTAAAAGCTGATATATCAGTAACTTTAACATGGCAAAACCATGATCAGAGGCTAGCAAAAATACTGGTATATAATATCTGTGCACAGTACTTGAAAGAGAAGAAATATTTTTCTACTATGAATTATATATTATAAGTGAGTGACGACTATCGGGTTTGATACACATATGGCTAAGCCAGCTTGGAGCTGGGAAAATATCATATTTTTATATACAGTATTTCTATCTACTAGTATTTTACTGATTGACTATAATTACTAATTCCCCATGCTTTAGTATAGCTTTATAAGCTTGTAACTCCAAAAACAGGTGATGTTTAGCTCTGCTAACTTTGTTACCAAAATAAAGCCTACGTCAGGAAAAAAAGATTACAAATAAGACATATGAAATCTTTTAAGAATATCAATATCAATACACTTTGCCATCATCCACACCAACCAATAACATCTACAAGAATTCTAACTCAGAAAGCCCTATTGAGGTAGCTAGGAGACCTAAACAGGGTCCACTTCAATTTCCATGTGCCCACTAACCTACAAATTACCCCCCTACAATGCCGAAATTGACTCTAATCCAGTTAATCAATCCAAGGAGACAGGAATAGATTAACAGGAGCAAAAGCCATTGGCACCCACTCTATAAAACTCCTGACAGCACAGGGCACCCCCAATCAGTCTACATAATGTCAGACACATGCTGACACTCTGGGGTTGGTTAGGGGAGTGTGGCAACCCACGGGGGTATTCAAACAGTCCCTGGACAAGCTTGTCAATTATCACCAGTTTAGTGACCTTAGAAATTAGCCCCTGCTCCTGGCTACACACAATGTACACAACCCAGGATAGCAACATCACAATCTACAGTGTGTACATTGCTAGTCATGGGGTCCACAGAGGAGTATGTTAACTTAAAGGCATCCAATACAATTTCAGGGCAGCAATTAAGACAAAAATATATATTCTGGATGAGGAAATCTGTCTGATATTGAAATATATGGCCATTTCTGAGCCCATTTTCATTATCATCATTTCATACTTGAAGCATTTGAAATTAAGACAAAAAAAAGCTGCGTGAGGAGTCCCATCATTTTTTTGGTATGACCAATAATAAGTAGCTAGAACCAGCCTATATACATTTGATATAAAACAAGCAACCATTTCTGTCAGCAACAAGGTTCACAATATTTCCTCACAGATTTCACAATGGTATGGGACAGTGTTCAACTTGGTTCTACTTACTACACTGAAAAATGACAAAAAAATTGACTTTCAAAATCAAGTTTTACTGCCCTGAAATTGATTTGGGTGCCTAATTTAGTTTAAAGACGTCAACAGACACAGGATTAAATTTCTTGACAATGACACACTTGAAGGGTAAAACAACGATGTGTTGTTCAAAGTGATTTCCTTTTTAGATGACAAGGATGGAAAAAGGTGAAGATAAAATGGTCAAATGGAAACCATCAAACTTTTGATATCAAAAAGTCTCTCTGAACTTTTGCATGGTATTTCTACAAATGTCAATATTAGCAAATGGCAATTAAGTCAATTAAGATAGCTACCCTAGTGAAGTAATTCATTAACTTTTATGCAGTAAAAATGGCCTTCTAACCTTTGATGGGGACAGACACAAGTAAAACATGGAAACTGCAGCCTTTTGAAAACTAACCCTGTATTCTAAGACAACCTTAATGCTAATGGTATGTGTAACATTGTCTGTCACTGATACTGCATCTATTTATAAACTTTCTTTCTGGTAAAGGAATGGACTGGTTGACCTAGGAAGTGAACCAAGACATTCAAATCTAGTGTTTGTGCTACACAAAGCACAAAGTACTAAACCTATCAAAGAAACGCAATGTAGATGTTAACTAACTTATCGCTGACAAAAAAGTACAGGTAAAAGGCACACTTACCGGGGTCTTGGGGCCTTTTGATGCGTGCGGCGGGGTCACCTGCGTTTCTCCATTGTTGGTTGAGCGCGTTCGCCGGCTCAGTTGATACATGGTGCAATATCCAAGATGGGTATCGAGTTTCGGAAAGCCCGTGTTGGGTGACATCCTCACATTCAAGCCAGTTTGGGGCGTTACAAGTCCGACATTATCCCAGAGAATAGCCATACACGTCTGTTGACAAACTGATACACTCAGGCCGGCCAGATAATTTTCCACGCTTCGCGGGGGTATTGAATTTTTTCTGCGCGAGCGATCGTTTTGGAGTCCTGGGTTGTGGTGGTTTGATTGGGGGATTTTGGCGGTTGGGTCTGCGATTTGCTCTGCTAGAGATCCATGCAATCCCAGTCAAGCTAGTCCCGGTGTGGATCAAATATCCCGCCATGTTGGCAAGGCATATTTGGAAAGTGCACTCGGGTCGGCATGTGGGGTATTTAAGCTCATTGTGGGGTGGGACAGTTGGCAACAAAAGCCCTGAGACTGTCTGATACACTGCTTTCCTCACTGACCCTTGTCTTTACCCCAACTGTCGGTGGGGAGGGTTCTCAATCTACACATGATGTTGACAATCCTCTGAAACCTTTCCATTTAGTTTTGATGTTAGGAGAAAATGTACAAGTCCACGAACAAGCCTAAGCACTCGTGTTGGGGAGTGCTTTCTGGTTCATTGGTGACGTTTGAATAGCAAGGATTCGCACCCAGCTGATTTCTTCCCAGAAAGGCAGTTGATAAAGACGGGATGTTTATTTTCCTCTGGGGCCCGTCAGAGAACACTTCAGCAGTAGCCGGGCTGTTTGGGTATTTCTGTCTGGGTCTGATGACGCCATGTTGGGAGGGCAAACTTTGCTGAGGGCTTTACGTCACTGCTCTTTTCAAACAACACGTCCCGACGTGTGAAATACGGCAGGGCAGCGTGTGGTTAATACTGCCTGGTGACGCCAGGAACGCAATTTGGAGGAATGCAGCGAACAGTCTAGCCACTGTGGATGATAAATGCTCTTCCCAAATCCCTGAAGTGCAGCAAACATTTCACCAACACATTAAAGCCATGTATGGTCTCAAACACCACATTTGGGACTTGCTCCACGTCTCACTTGTTGCTTGCATGGAAGTGTTGTGTTTTTTTTTTTGCTTTGTTTTGTTATTTTTTTCTGACATGTGACGGTTTCACTCGAGATGGTTTGGAGTTGCCTGTGGGATTTTACTTCAAGGGTTACACCGCCTTTTCCGATGAGGTCTGAACTGTCCCCCGGAGTTACAACAGGTTGGTGACGTCCCTGGGCTGGAAAAACCTGTCCCTGGTGACCTGCTCATAACGGCTGAACACGCACAGTCGTTAAAGACAAAACATCAGCCCTCTTAAGTGGCCACGTTCTGCCCCAGGCACACTGTGGGCCAGCTCCCTGTAACGGGTGGGGAGGGGGGCATTTAGGGCCACGAACCACATGTGAGAGATCTCTTGGTAGATCAGCAACTGTCTCGAGGTGCATTACAGGGGCTATTTTGGATGGCGCCCCAAATATTTGCCATGTAATGGGAATATCTCACCGGCCTCAGCCCAATATAGCACTGGTCTGCCCTATATATGCCTGTTGGGTTGTGACATTACATTGTACGTCCGTTAACAACACGTTTCATCCTTTCCTTTAATGGCGTTGTGCAGTCTCGCGTTTTCAGCGGTTAGTGGTCCGTAATTTCCGAGCGCGGCTAGGTTCCATGTGAAAGCTGCAAATTGTACTTCCTGGACTCCCCCTGATGACGACGCTTCTAAACTTAGACGAGCTGGAATTGCTGTAATGTCCCTTGGGGACAAGTCAGGCCTTCATATGCAGGCCTCGGAGGGTGTGTTTTTTCTTCTTGGCATACTTCACAGCATGAGGTGTTTTCCAACGAAAATGTACACATGATGATGTCTAGATGATACAACACTATGAATGGTTGGTAAGAAAAGTAAAAGTCTGGTAAAGCCAAATAACAAAGAATCCTGGAGACCATTCTCCCTGTCCCAATGATATAATTTACATCTTCCAAAAATAAAAATGTCTATACAATGAAACTGTATCCTGTAGCAGTGAGATTATATGAGTGTCATACGTCGGTCTCAACGCTGCTCATTTTGCTCGACGCCGTGCCGATACAATTTGCTGCGTCGCTGCGCCTCAATTTTGTTCGCTCGTCTGGCATGGCGTCCTCCATTTCGATGAAATTGGCAGAGAGTTCCGTGCCCTCTTCCTTTTCAAAGTCAGCTGAATACGCGCAGCTGTCCACATGCTTATAGTCTACCCCGTCGTCATCAGCCGCGGTTTCACGATGGTAGAAGTAGTTGAAGTTTGAAACAATGACAGGCACGGGTAACGCGATGGTTAGCACACCAGCGATGGCACACAGGGAGCCTACAATCTTCCCCCCTACTGTCACGGGGTACATATCTCCATATCCTACCGTAGTCATTGTCACCACAGCCCACCAAAAGGCATCGGGTATACTCTTAAACTGCGTTTTGTTCGCGTCAGCCTCCGCAAAGAATACAGCACTGGCGAACAAGATGACTCCAATGAACAAGAAGAATATTAGCAACCCTAACTCTCTCATGCTGGCTTTTAATGTCTGTCCTAGGATTTGTAAGCCTTTCGAATGTCTGGACAGTTTAAATATTCGGAACACTCTCACCAATCTGATCACCCTCAAGATGGCGAGGGACGTCGCTTGGTTCTTGGACTTCGATGAATCCGCGAGGACCGTACCCAACGTCACGAAGTACGGCACAATAGCAACGATATCTATAATGTTCATAATGTTCTTGAAAAAGGCTAGCTTGCTGGGTGACGAGATGAACCTTATCGTTAGCTCGAACGTGAACCAGATGATGCATAAAGTTTCCACCACGAAGAAGGGGTCTCCGAACCCTGGCACCTCCACCTCCTCTTTCTTGAGGTCCTTGAGGTCTGTGGAGTTTGTGGAGTTTGTCATGTTCACGTATCTGTAATGTTTGAACTGTGGCATGGTCTCTAAACAGAAGGTCACAATGGACAACAAGATCACACTTACTGACAGCAAGGCAATCCCTCTCGCAGGTTTCGAACTTTCCGGATACTCAAATAGTAGCCATATCTTCTTGAGCACCTCGTTTTTGGGCAAGGGCATTTCTTTTTCCTTGATGAAACCCTCATCCTCTCTGTATTTGTCAATGACTTCTTCTCCAAGTTCATAGAACCGGATTTCCTCCGTGAATATGTCGATGGGCACATTGACAGGCCTTCGTAACCTGCCTCCGCTTTGATAAAAGTACAATATGGCATCAAAGCTTGGTCTATTCCTGTCAAAGAAGTATTCATTCCTCAAGGGATCGAAATACCTCATTCTCCTCCTAGGGTCCCCGAGGAGAGTGTCGGGGAACTGGTTGAGAGTTTTGAGCTGGGTCTCGAACCTGAGTCCGGACACGTTAATGATGACCCTCTCGGATGCGGTCGGGGCGGGAGCCGGGTTGGGCCGGATGGGTGGCAGCTCGCTGTCCGGCGTCTGCTCGAACCCTCCGTCCGAGCTAGACGGCCGGTCGTCGTCGGTGGCCGCCAGCTTGGTGTGCGAGTGTGCGTTGAGCGAGTTGCCGATGTTGTTCTGTCCGCCGCCGGAGTTGTTGCGGCTGTGCGGCGGTGCGTCCTTCAGGCCGGTGCCGCTGCCGTCGCCCAGCCGAGTGCCCGTCCCCACCAGCGGGTGCTCCGTCGGCTCGTCTGTGGCCGGGGCCTGGAGCGCCCTGACGTCCATCTTGTCCGGACGGGGGTGCAGAATGGGGGTCAGCCCCCAACGCTCGATCAGCTCTATTTTCGACGAAATGTTGACAGACAATCTCAGCACAAGATGGCGGGTACGACATGTAACCCAGCACCATCAAAATAGCAGATATTTTCCACCGACGTCACCAACAATTTCTCCTGCCGGCCTTTCACTATCATATCACCTTACAGCACCGCGTGGGCCACCCCTAACAACATTACACCACCACCGATCACCGAACATCAACTTTAAACCTCCGTCACCGCTTCCCTTGCTCACATCGCGAAGCTTACCTTGTGTGTTTTTAGAAGCGGGATCTGCCAGAATTAACTAGCTACGATGGGTGCATACTTTATTAGCGTGCCCGGCAGGACCGGTTGTACGGGGCTGACTTGCGTGAAGACCCGGTGGATGGAAGGCGTTCCTCCCATTGGCCGATCGCGTCCACTGATCCCCGGTTCGATTCCCGACCTAACGCCCACTGGCTCCCGCCGGAGGTCGTCTGAAATGCCAGAAATGCATGCCACAAATGTCGCGATGACGCTCGAAGTTGGCTTGCAGGACACAGCGTCCCCGTCCTCCCGATTCCTGTTTGCCTTTCTGCGTGTATGAGGATAAAAAGACAAATTCGTCTGGTGCTTCTGCTTGCCAAACAGCCGTCTTTGGCTCACCCAAGGCCCCGCACGCCTCCGCGAGGTTTGATAGATGAGTAACACGCATGAGTAACTAGCAGTGAACCACGTTTTCCCCCCGGAGCTTTAAGGCAATAATTGGTGCCTGCAAACTCCCCTTAACCTTTGGCCCGGCATTCGGACAGAATCAACGGACAATTGCTCGGGTTTCGTGTGAAAAGTTGGACGGCTTTCCGGAGCTAGCGTTGGTCCGACGTGATTCCGGAAGCCTTGCTCCCTGTGCCTTATGACTTTAGGCGGGCATCTTAGCTATGTATTACCCGCACGGTGCAGTATGGGGGCATGTCAGTCAGATGCTGTTCTGTAACAACAGAGACGATTGGAAGTAAATGCTAGAAAAAAAGTACACATCTTCAACATTTGTACTCTTGTAATCTTCGGTAAACTTTTGTCACCGTGCACGCTTTGATAAAAGGAAATAAACAAAGGACTTGAATTATTATCGTTAACAGAAAGTGTCCCACATGTAACGTTACATGGACCCTAAGTCTTTTTATATCAAATCATATATATTCTATTAGGCTACAAAGGCTCAGCCGCAGTTATGAAATACATTTTATTCTATTTTCTTCGTTCTTTTTCTCGTTTCGAACGCATAACTTATGCTATTGCAAGTCAAAGCCTCACAGTCATTGAAGACTGTGACACATACACATATCTTCACGACGTCTTGTCAAAAGCAACAATTTATTTCTAAACATATACTTTCAAATGTTTCTAAAAAATAAACTTTGTGAAGTACGTATACTACATATATACGTATATATTACAACTCGCGAGAAATAAATGAATGCTGACCCCTCGGTACTCTGAGGCCTGGCGATACACAGTCAACAGTTTTAATTATGACAGATGACAGATGTAACATTTAAAAACCCCAATGTACCAGCATGCGGGCTAATCTACACATTCCTGAAAATGCAAACTTCTGTGGTGCCGATTTCAGGTTCCTTTCCGTTTTTCCTTTTATTACAGGGTGTAAGCAAGGCACGTGCAAGAAAACAATCAAAGGAAGTGCTTTTTGCATCAAGTTAAAAAGGTGTATAATTTATTGACGCAACACCTTGCAGTACAATGGCCAAAATTGCTTTTGTTTGATGTACTTATTTGTATTCCTCTTGTGCCGTGCTTTGGGAAGAAACCTAACCTTGGTGACTCCTGTTGTGATCATGAGTTTGGCTTGGGTAATCGGCTTGACATATACCGTTGTTGGGGAAAGGCACCACAGGAGGGGGAGTTACCCTTGAGGTGGTCTTAAGAACTTTTCAAGGGCATTAAAGGTCAGATGTACATGACGTCAAGGTTATGCGACCTCCATAGAACTACCCGGGCGTCGTTTTTTGTTACTGCTTCTTTCTTTCTTTCTTTCTTTTCTTTCTTTCTTCCTTCCTTCCTTCCTTTCTTTTTTCTTTTTCTTTCTCTCTCCCTTTCTCCCCCCTCTCGCCTCCTCCTTCTCTCTCTTGTGCGTGAAGAGCTGGGAAAGACGGGAAAGAGGCAAAAGCCATTCGATGGACCATGCCATCATGAAATTTTACTCCCAACATTGGATGAGCCAACGGCGTCGACTAAAAGATGCATTTTCCGCTACTGAAACAGCGGTAACGTTGCACTTGAATTCATCACGATCTTGGGAATAAATATTTCAGCTGACGTCTCTTCGCCTCAGTCGCTGGTTCAGTTATTACATCAACACAGCGTGGTATAGAACAACGGGTGAACATGGGATTCATCTTAGCGCGTTTTCCTCATAACCTCTCTTCATTTCTTCTCAAGTTGTTTTTGTCCTTTTTACTTGGAATGTTCACTTCTTTAAGTGTAGCATCAACTTTGCACTAAATCAGGTGGGATGGAAACGCGAACTTTAAAACCCTGTGTTGGGTTTGAAATGGAAGGCTATCAACTCTTCAGTAATGTACATGTATCAAACATCGTGGCAGGACCCTTCTGTTACTCTCCAAGCAGATGTTTGGGTTTTGGGGGTATTTTTAGCGTGTTTTTAGGCTTTTTTTATCGGGGTTTCTCTTTTGCACTGAATTTTTTCCCCACCAAACCCAACATTCAGTGCAAAAGAGAAAACCCGATAAAAAAAGTCTAAAAACACGCTAAGAATACCCCCAAAACCCAAACCTCTGCTTGGAGAGTACCCTTCTGTGTGAGCGACGGGAAATGGCGACGGACGTGGTCAGACGTGGTCTATATTCCTCTGTTGCGCCCCCTAGCGGCGAGACAGACGATCGACGTCTTCTTTGTTTGTCACGAGTGATCTCACCCGTCATTCATTTGTTAATTAAACGGCGTTATGCAGCACTTCCTACCAAAAATTGAAATATTTTCATTGAAAAAAATCTTCACGTGATTGTTTATTTGTTTATTCTGATTTTTCACAAAGTGAAAGGAAGGGCAAAACAGGTGCAAACGCACCTTTACAAGTTGCCCTGCACAATACAAAAACACATCTGCAACAAACTATACATAGTCAATGACAACAAGTATAAAAATACACAGAAAGGCAATGAATATAGAAGGTTAAGCAAAATTATGGAACTCTCTTCCAAACAGCTGCTTTCCGTCCGATTACAATCCACAAAGCTTCAAAACAAAGGTCCACCGTCATCTCCTGACATAGCTACAATATACTCCCTCAAGTACCTCTAGCTCTATGCCTAGAAGTGGCCAAATATAATTGGCCTTGCATTGAGCGATACCGTTAAAAAAATCAAATATATATAGTAAGTAGTAGTATAAATTGTGTTGAAACAAGACTTAGTGAGGTCTAGAAGAAATACAAGAACTACACCCACAAGAATTGTAATTTTATACTTCCACTTTTCAACATATTTGAGCACTTTAATATCTCACATTTCTGGTTGGCGCTAAAACAGCCCACATGAGGCACAATCGGTTTGTGGCACCACCACAAACTACAAGAAATTGAATGTAATATTATATACGTAAGCAAACATGAAATGCTGACAGCTGTGTTTCCAGCTTTCAAACACACTCGTAAGGCGTCATATCTTGGCGCCTCTACTTCCGGAAAGACACTTATCAATGGAGTAGGGCGAATTCAATTTACTTTGAAAAGAAATGACCAGCTAGCTAGAAAACTTTCTGTCTGTATTGTTTTAATGTTACATGATGTTGCTTTAAACCAGACCTGTCTGGGGTATAGGTCTTTTTCTTTTCCTATTAAGAAGTTCCTAGCTCCTGGCGTTAGAATCGCTGTAAACAATGTAAATAAAGCCCCGAAATAAAAACAATGACAGTACTTTAAATGTATAACGTTATATATATATAGCTACATATAAGAATACAGCAAAGTTGTAATGCTTTATTCTGCAAGTAGGGTTAGGTATTTTTGTCCGATTTTCTTTGGGTACTCGTATACTGGTCCTACATAGTCTACTTCGCAGACTTCTTGTACCGGTGGCAATTATTTTGATTGAGAGCGCTGGTGAGTAAGTAAGGTTCTATCAGGTGACAGAGGGAGTTATGCTGCGGAGGGAGTTACACCTAAAAGAAAACTCGTATAATGAAAATGAACGCTACCGCTCCAAGACGTCTGCAAAGCCTATCTTAAAGCTTACCTGAGACGCCAACAAACGCCCACACGTAGCATAATCTCTGTTTGGAGAATAGTAACGCTACATATTCCTCTGACCATCTCACCTAGCCTCTACCAGGCTTCACAGGTCAAGAACTTGGTCAAGCAGACGGATAACATGCCAGGGGAGTCGGTCCGCGAAAGGGTGCGGCAAACTGTACTCTTTAGCGGTCCAACTTCACTGGTATATTGTCTGTCTGTTTTACTAATTTCTGTTCTTTCTAGCCACCTCTGAAGCCTCCATAGTAGAGGCTACCTGTCACCGTAAGAGTAGTTGAACTGTGTCTTACCACTTACCGGTCTTTTGACCGGGGTGGTCAGGATATCAACATGCCTGGACAGCTGATAAAACGTGAGATAGCCGGGATAGTCCTACTGGTGACATACTTTTCCTTGATGTCCCTGGCATGTTTGTCTTGATATCTTTATCGTTTTGCAATGGATGTCCAAAAGTTTTGTCCTTGTATGTTTATCTTACAGGAAATGGGATACAGAGAAGTCATTTCGTTCACAGAGTCGACCAGACGAAACTAAAACACTAGTAACAGATAAGCGCGCTCAGTCCAGACCACCTCTTGACTGAACCAAGACTACACAACCCGTCTGCTGACCACAAACACACGCCAGATGCCTGATGACACGGATAACAATGTCAACACCTCTACCAGGACGTGAAACAAGAAGATATCTGTGTCAGGGCTATATGGACATAAACTAGACATACCAAAGGCGGATACACAGAACTACAGTCAGTCCACAATTAATTACCTTACACGACTGCTGAATCAGTGCGGCTGCTAGTTTTTCTACTATGTAAAGTGAATTTAAAATCGGACAACCTATGTATTTCTTGATGTTCTTCCGAACATCTTTTAATGATGCGAATTCTAAAAAGTTAACGTTGTAAGCTTGTAAATATATATGTCTGTAATGTTGAAAACTTGATAAAATTCTTTATGTAAATTGGTTCTTGATTCAGTCTCTGTAAACTGAGATAAACCAATAAGTCGTATCGTATCGTATACTTGACGTTTATTGCGTCCGTTTGAGAAACTTGTACATAATTCATCATATTCTGTTGGAAAGGTTGTCGACTCGTGGAACAGTGTAACATACAACTTTTGGCGGTTGCAAGACAGTATCAAATTGGCAAGACAGTATAACCCTTGAGAAGTCAGACCCTTTAGGCATAGTTTTAGACATAGCTGAGTTTAGACCGCTACCTCTATCACGTAGACTTAAGTCATTTTATACTCTGTTTCATTGTTCTTTCATGTTTTGTAATTTGCAATTAACCTTGGGCTCCGGGCACGAATTTGCAACAAACTTTTCTATAACATTGGGGAAGCAAGCAGTATCGACAGTATTTGCCACTCACGTAAAGAAAGATACCATGTATCGGTACAAAGCCGGATAAAATCACGTAAAACACGTCAAAAGTAAGTCTGAATCTCTGCTTGGAGATTAGTAACAGTGCACATCGGATACCTATTCCTTTTTGAAAACTAGATAAAAAATACTAGCATTGTCATAAACTTTTATATATTGTTGCATCATCATTTACAGTACAAGGGATGTCACTGTCGCATGTTTGTCTGAAGGCAAGTACACAATGCAGTAATCAATCCACACTAGTTTTGTTTGAATGAATATGGTCCTGTTGCG